GCAAAATCAAGATAATCTCCGATATAGTTTAGCACACGTCTGGAAAACGACTGTTTAATGGAATTTATAAACGTATGTCCCATTCTTTTTCTTTCTCTCTCTCTCTTTCTCTGTCCGATTATTTTTTCGCGGGTAAATATGGCTATCAAACGTCACGCTTTTCTCTTTTTCGATATACGACGTGGATCGCGTATTTCTATTCCCGCATGTCATGTCCGACTCGTTAGTAAGATAACCGCAATGACAGCTCGCTGGTTATTTCGGCATTATTTGGTGATAACAGCACGCTGCTGGGAAAAAGCTGACTGCACGCGTCGAGAAAAACGTAGTTTTCCCAATTATTACGTTTTAAAAGTTTTGAAATAATTTGATTTATTTTAACAAAAGATTAAACCAAAATTATTGTTTTTATAATTAGGTATGTCTAAAATATATTTAAAATCTTTCAAAAGCTCTAAATATTCAATGCTTCTACTGCATAATTGTATAATCTTTGAGAAAATTATGGGAGATATTATTACGTTTACGCAAAGCAACAATTATAATTTTTTAGGAAAAAAATATTATTTCGAAATTGTTAATTAAAACTTGAAAAAAATTATACAAAAATAAAATTGCGTTTCAAGTAAATTTTTCAAAGGCAAAATTCTCAATCGAAATTTAATTACTCGCGAAAAATTGTCGCAATTATCGAAAATTATTCTTATATTTTTTTCTATTCTTCTCATTATTCTTGCGTTTTTTCTCTGCCTCTATGAATCGAGTTAACAATCTTTATAAAATATACACGTTTAATATAAAACATGTATATTTGTAGAATGAAGCATTCATAGAAATAAATAAATCGAAAACAAGTGAATTTTTTTTCTGCATTTTTGCTCCACTCCTTTTCAATTCCTTTCTTCGCATCACCTATCTATTTTTAGATGAGAAACACATCTATGATCATAATATGGTAGCGTCTCTTTGTAACATCGGGGACGAAGACGCGATACCGTCGAGCGGAGAGGAATCGAAGCGGGGAAAACGAAGGGGAGCAAGGCGCGCCGCGCAATTACAAAGTTGCATAATTACATTGCGCGGTAGTAGCAGAGAGAAAAGAAAGAGGAAAAAAAGGAAGAATCAACCGGTACGCGCGCGCGTAACATTGCTTTATTAACAAAATGGGATAATGCCACGGTGTGTGACAAATTGGGAGCAACGCACGACGGCGGCCGGAAAAGCCATGCATATTCATAGAACGCCCGTCGGTGGGACCGCCGCTGTAGTTCTTCTCCTTTCTCTCTTTACTTTTATGATCTTCTCTCTCCTTTTCATCCACGTCGCTATAAACACACGATCGTGCACACGGTAAGTCCCCGTTCACACGTGGCGCGGTTTCATCCGTACGTGGCGTACGGGAGGGAACGCTCAATAACCTAGGAAAGCTGATACCACCATCGTCTTTTTCATCGTTAATCGTCGAGAGACAATGCAGCGAACTGTGCGAATGGTGCATATCGTTGGTCGACTTCCTCAATAATAAAACAGGAAATCACGAATTCCGCGATTGTCATTTTTTTTTATCGTCGTGATTTCCTCGTGATTTCGTCGGGAAACTTATCCTACCTAAAGATTATTTCTTATTTTATTAGGAGATGCTGACGGATGACTCGATCGATATTATGTTACGAGCAAGTAGCGAAAAAAAAAACGCGGATCTTGTATGCGGAACGTAGAAAATGGCGCGGTCTCGCTCTGCCTCTTTTTCTGTACGTTTTTTTGTACGTTACGAACGCGAGCGGCGGCCCATTTTCGACCGCACCAGCCAGCTGCACTTTCCAAAATAACCGCCGAGTTTTTCTGAAAATGCATCAATCGCGAGCGGGATTTTCGGCACGAGTGGTGAACGCACCTGTAACTCCGGTCCCGGCTTATTGGGTGGCCCAAATCGCGAGCGTGCCGTATTTTTACGAGCAGTATACCCTGCTGCGATCAAAGCTTTAATTAATCAAGCCATTAACCACGATTTGATTTCTGATCAAAAGAACCGCGATCGTTGATCGATATCTTTATTGCGCCATATACGCGTTTTGTGTGTTCAAACACACGGCACTTTGACTTTTCAAATTAATTCCACTAATTTGCGCACGATATCTCGTCTCGCTATCGTTGTTTGCATTTTCTAATAAAGATAAATTATGTCGCAAAATAAATTACGCGATGATTACTATATTTTTATTATATTCAAAAATAAGATTTCTTCCGGATAAAAGAAAAATTTTAAGTGAGAAGTGTATAAAAATAATAAGTAAAAATATATGAAATATAAATATATTCTATGTACAACGGAACGTATGTACTAACTTTTTCTAATGATAGAAAATCTTTCTAACAAATTTCTAATTATATATTTTATATCTATTTATTCTTCCTCTTAATTTCCATATTTATTCATTTCACCTACTGATCTTTCTCTCTAATGCCTTCACCACTTAAAAAAGTACTTCTTTAATAATTGTTCAAACTGTAAATACAAATAATACGATAAAAATACAAATCGCTTTAAACTCGTCAAGTCAAAATTCGATCTTTAAGTTTAAAGATACCGGCAGAATCCAAGGTGGTATTATGTCTTACGATCTCCGTGCCATAACGCGTGCGGTAACTGCGTGCTGCCAGATGAACATCCGCGATTGCAGAATGGGGACTTTACGCCAACGAACGCTTATACATAGTCGCGTTAAGAAACGATCGAAGCTCGCGAGATAGCGAACGACAACGAAGAGGAAGACGACGACGATGACGACGATGACGACGACGACGATCGGCAATCGGGAGATCCTTTGTCCTCTCGCTCGCCTCTCGTGCTTGGTTTCCTTTTTCTTTACGACCCCGCGACTTCGCGTCGCGTTTAGAAAGGTCGCCCGTTTCTAAGCGCTACGTCGCGAAGCTTATGGGCCGTGTATCTGGGCTGCGTGTGTAATTAAAAGAATGCGACGTGCCACGCGAGCGCGAATGTCCGCGAGTTTACGACGTGTCGCGCGGGCCGCGATAAGTCCAACGTGGAAATACCAAAGCGGCGATACCACGATCGCGCAGCGCCGGCATTCAGCATCGGCTACTTTGCAGATTTACTTCACTCACGATCTCCCCCGTTTGTGTATCGCTCCGTTCGTTTCACGTCGGCACGAAGCTTCGCCGGGTGGCGCGTGTCATGCACGAACCGCATAATTAAGAGATGCGATTAAAAATGCCGGTTTTCATGCGAATAAATGAAGACTTACTTGTTGACTAATTATCCTCATTTAACTTCAAACAGCATCTGTTTTAGCGAGCAGATTTGGTTGCAAATTCGATACAAAATTTACGCAATAAGCAAACTTTCTTGATATATCTTTATAGAAGAGATTTAGAGAAGAGACTTGCTGTTGATTAATTATTCTCAGTTTAATTTCAAATAGAATTTTCTTTAGCGAATAGATTTGGCTATATATTCGAGTAAAGGCAATAAACGACAAGTTTTCTTCCATCATAAAAACGATTCATCTTAGATTAAAATAAAAAGTCTGCTTATAATCAAGATAGAAAAGTGAAACCACGATACCTGCAGCATCATGCACGCAGATGCATCAGAAAGTTGGATAATAAGTAAGACGTAGAAAAAAAAAAAGAAACGATGATGTGGCAGATATGTTACTTGCTGGCGGCTACAATAAGTATTCGATAAAAAAGTAAATTTGTAAAAATACTTTGAATTATCATATAATTAAAATTTTTTATTCCTGTTTCATTAGAACTAACCGTAGATGCATCTTAAAAATCAGAAGAAAGAATATTATTGAAGAATATTATTATTTTTTTAGCGATCCAAATAATTTACGTAAATGCATATAAATGTCAGACTTTAATTAAATAAAAATATATCAATATCTTAATTAAAGATTTATCTTACATTATAATTAAATTTCTTATTTACTTAATGACGTACACAATATTCTATTATATATAAATTATATATTAATTACTCACATAAGTAAAATAAAAAATGATATTATTATTTATCGAAAGTTAACTTATAAAACAATTTTTTATTATTCTTCTCTTTTAGTTCAAATATGTCATAATGAAATAAAAAAGTTTCAAATCTTGAACTCTCATTTATATGAAAATTGAAATTGATAATCTATAAATTAATATTATACTTATATAATTAAATTTACATTTATTATATAAGTAAATTACACTTAAATAATTACACACCCATATTCAAATGTACATTATAATTAATAAGTATAAATTGTAATCAATTATAAACATATGTCAATTTTTATGTACATTTATAAAATATAATAATATAACTTATATTTTAAAAATAAATTATAATAATTTATAAACCATTATTATGCAGACATACATAAATGGAGGGATATATTGGAGATAAAATTCATCATAAACTTAAAATTTATGTAATTTTATCATTATTCACATCTTTTGACTGTCTCATTTTAATGGATTACATAATATAAATGTAAATATACATTTTAATGTTAATAATATTTTTTACAAATAATAAATGTATGTTCAAACGCATTTATGTTTAATAAATCTTAATCATTTCATTTCTTAATATAAAAGATTTGTAATATAAATCAAACATATTTTATATTTTTTTCTTTCTTTTTCATGTGTAATAGTAAAAAAATATTAGAAAAAAATTTATAACATACAGTCAATTTAATATTAACTTTATTTAATTAGCCAAAAAATGTATAAATGAAATATAATTTCAAAATTTAGAAAATTCAAAATTCCATTTTAAAATTCCATTTTAAAATTCATTATAAAATATAAATATAAATACAAATATAATAAAATTCACGAACCATACTAAAAATGTATTAATACTTGTAATATTTTTTTAAATTAAATTTACTTTAATCTTTTTCGTATTAACATTTCGAAATATAAATCTATGTATCCTTATTTATGTTTTGTTTCTGAGAACTATGACAAAAAATAAATATATTCAACAATGTTTAAAAGCAGTGTTAACTGATTGATCTTCTCTTCTTTTTTTCCATTTCAACCAAAAAAGGAAAGTTCAAATTCTTAACGAATAAGAACATACGATACATTTATAAAAATTTTAGCCAAAAAATTTATATTATTGAAAAATAACTGTACTTTAAGTTTATTTGCGAAATAAGTACAAAGATTTTTCAAACGATTGAAGAATGATTCTATGTAGGGCTGACAACAAATAATGTTTATTCGTATTGGCCAATGTGATATAATCAAACAAGTAACGTCTCGTCTTCTATAAATTGAGTTGTCATTATCATATTATGTGTTATATACATAAGATGTACAGACGGCAAGTTCTCGATTTATAAAGACATATAAAGGTAAGACATATAAAGAATTATAAATATTTAATAATTGAGACTAAAATAACAATTCAACAATTAAGTATTTCCTTTTATCATATTTCTTAGTATTCTTTTATTGTTTGAGAATAATTTTCTACTAATTTTTATACAAATTTAAATTAAATTATATAAGTTCAAAACTATCTAATTTAATTGACAATAATTAGCAGAAACTAGAGTAATCATTATTTATGATCAAAGTTTTAATTATGTTAAAATTGTAAAATGTAACATAATATTTTAAATTTAGACTACTATGATTTCTTATTTCAGTATAATAATAATTTAATAAACATGCAGCATAAAACTAAATAACAAAAATCATTATAATGAGAGTATAATTGTCTTTTTAAAATAATATCCCTTCAGTACTATATGTAAAATATGAACAGTTAGACAAAAACATATTTTTTATTCACAGATCAAAATGAATTATATTACTTGTATTACTTAATTCTAGATATTACGACATTAATTGCGATATATGTGACAAAAGTAAATACAATTTATCTAGTCAAATTATACACTTTAGTAAGTTCAGAAAGATTAAATAAATAATGATTTCCACAAAACTACTATGGATTATTATCTTCGGAAGTTTATTTTACTATGTAATAGGTAAGATAATTCATATAACTGCAACAAAATTAAGATATCTATATATAATAACAATAATAATTTAAAAAAAATCAATTAAATGACATATTTATATTAGAAATGTAATGTAACATACAAATATTCCATCACAATATCAAAAAATATAGAAAAATTAAAACTTACATTAATGGGACAAATAAATTTATATAACTGTTATTATCATTATTATTATATTTTTATTATTTTTGTTATTTTATACAACTATTCAGTCAAAGTGTCAAAAGAAGATACAAATTGAAAGTTACATTAATAAAACAAGTAAATGTATGATATAAAAAATATAAAAATAAAATAAAATAATAGTAAAATCGCACAATTAAACTTGCATTCTGATTTATTCTTATTTAATTTTATAGTTCACTAGAAGATATAAATGTGTTAAACAATTTTTGTCATTTAATTCAATATTAAAAACATTGTAATAAAGTCATATTTATGTTTTACAAAAATTAATTTACTAACTAAAATTAACTTTAATCATAATATGATCCAATCATTTCGTTTATAATAAATTACTTAAAAATCATAATCTTTACATATATATATATAACAATAAATATTCAATAAAATTAGACTTAACAAGTCTTATTAAATAAGATATATTGATATTCTCATAGATGTAGGAGTTAAGAACGAAAGCATTTCAATACCACAATACATAACTAAATTTTTAATAAATATAACAAACAAAATCAATCGGACAGAGGATTCAAAAGGATCAGAATGGATATTTTCGGATATTTTTTATGGAAATCCTTTCATCTTCATATTAATAATCATATTTCTAATAGCAATTTGCGCAATACCTATACAATTAATAAGAATTGGTAAATTTAACTTTTATAATATTTTTGTTCCTAACATTATAATTAATGAATTAATATAGAAATATAATTTTAAATGTTGGTTAAACAAACATCTCATAAAATGATTCCTAACACTAGACTTCTATCGTATAATATTATTGCACATTAAATTGTTATGAAAAACATAAGATATTTCTTTCTTCTT